CCACGTCTGCGCGATCTATAGTTAATTGTATTGAAATACGAGATTATTTTGGAAACTACTTCACTTCATCCAGTGGATCTATTCCATGGCAATATAATAAAATATAATAAATCTCACCGTGTTTTTTTATTTTGGTTGTTTAGTTCAGCCCAGTTCCGTATAACATTTTCGCATACTTCCTGCCATAAACGCGTTTTCAAATTTCTATCACTATATTCTTTGGAATGTTTATTCCACAAAGGTGGTCTTTCTTGTACTGTGATTATCAAATGTTCCACGTCTATCTTTGTGTCGTTTGGAGATGGAGACTCCATTGGAGATGCAGGCGCCGACATGTTTACTGTTGAAAGGACAGAGCATGAATGAAGCGCCGGTCGGCCCGAGTGCGCGATTTTACGATCGCATTGCGCGCAGGACCATACAATTTCATACGCTGCATTTTATTTTCGCGACAATCGCGTCGCGAGTAGTCGCGTCAAAAAGTGACAAATCACAATTTTAAAATCGCTGCGATTTTTCACTCGCATGTGCGCGCACTGTCTTACTAACTCATACGTTGCATTTCTGCGATAAAATAATCACGCGGGAAAAAGTCGTAGTGCGCGCTAGCTCTAAAAAAGTAACTACCAATAATTAAAACAACTGAAGCCAGTGGATTACGGTTCGGTCGGAAAACTCCGTGGAGTGCCGTCGGTTAAAAATTTTACTAAAGATTTCACACTCACGATCAAGTTATTACTCATACTATTTTCTTTTAAACTAGCCCGAAAAAATCCGTGGGTTGCTGTCAGAACAACAGTGGGTGACCGTGTGTGGCGACCTTTAGACTTGCAATCTATTGCATTCGCAACTACTCCCAAGAAACACGTATCAAATCGTCGCGATTGCATTGTCTGATAGGCCACGTTTCCACCTGCAAGTACACTCTCGGAAGTTTTTCATAAGTTTCTTGCTGCTTGTTTTTACTGTTAACATATAGTATGAACTCTTGCAATTTTTTGCCGCGAGTTGATGTGAACACGTTTAGACTTTCAATTAATTGCACTCTCAACTATTCACATGAAAAGCTTGAGAAACTGTCACGAGTGCGCTTGCTTCGTAGTTTACATCTGCAAGCTACTCTCTGACAGACACTTCTTGCAGAAATTTCTTGGAGGTGGTAACGCGGCCTAAACATTCCATGAAATTGATTAAAACTACTTTTGCGGATTTTATCGCGTTTTATTTATATTAATTTTAATACCTGACGTTTCCCCCGTGACCATGGGTGCTGGAAAGCACCCGAAACGTCGGGTATTAAAATTAATATAAATAAAACGCGATAAAATCCGTAAAAGTAGTTTTAATCAATGTATAGTGTTCGCGTAAATATAAGAAATCATTATTTTATTCCATGAAACTTACTCTAAATGTATTATTGCATGCAGATTGTATCTCTTAACATTTTAACTTTTGCTAATTATTGTATTCGCCATATCCATTTGTACTTAAATACAAATAAAAAATGCTTCTAGTATTTTTAATTATCTATGGCTATTATCTAATTTATTGGATGAATATGAAGGTAGTTGTAAAATGAGTGTCGTTTCATCTCCCAAATGTAATGGTATTATTGCAAATAGGGCCTCTGTATTTTATATCATAGCATAAAATTATAGATAGGTCTCAGTCAGTGCCAAACCATCCCATTTATGTTTGAAATTACGTACGATGAGATTAAATCCACTTGTCCTGTCTTCGGCTGCGGCGATTGCGTTAACTTGTGCTGTGTCCGCGGCTGCTTATTTTTATAAAAGTCGTACCACGGAGATCAACGAAGTAATGGTATTTTGTAAATTACAATACAACGCCTACAATTATTTTGACAAACTCGTAAGTTTTATTGATGCCGCTAAGAAAAGTGTTAATGTGTGCATGCCTGGCATTCATAACCCAGCGATTCAAGGCCGCTTGGTTCAACTGATAAAGAAGAAAAACATCAAAGTACGGATTATTATTGACCGATCAGGATACAATGAGTCTACTGAATTTTTTATAAAGGAACTTATTGAAGCTGGTTGGTGAAAGAAATATTTAAATATTCAATTTACTGCGGTTTATTATGTTTATATACTTTATGGTGCTAACGTAAAAATATTTTGAGGTATTCAGTAATTGGTTACTATGTTTGTATAATAACGCATACACTGTGACACCAATAATACGTAGTTAAATAGCTTCTGATTTACATATATTTTACAGGTTTAATTATGCAATTATTAATTCTAGTCGCACATTATATCGTTGCCTAATCAACGTAGGTACTAAGATGATAGTTTAATATCTAATGCCTTTCAGCAATAGAGACGCAAATATTGAAGCACTTAGTTGGTTTTCTATCTAGCGGTTTGGGTTTCTACTTGTTACTACTCTCTTAGGTATCTAATCAGCCACCGAGGAATAATAAACTCACCGCTGTTTTCCCGTTTAATAGTCAGACGGACGGGTTATAATTACCGGTTGTAAGGCATTTCATGCTAGGCCTTAGGGGTCGACGCATTCTTTTAAAGGCTGTAAAAGTCCCTAGGCGGACATGGGTTTTCCCTGATATGGAGAAGATTTGTCCTGTCTCATTTGGAGGGCGAATTGTAATACCTACCAGCCGTCTTGCATTTATGACGCTACTTCTGTCGGGCGTCGGGGTAATTTACGCCTGGCATAAATCTATGGTTACACTGCATTTGAAGCGGTAAGACCTTCCTAAGTACATCCCACAGCATAGAGTACTTTCTAAAAACCCATTTGCAACATTCACGGGATGAAATAGGATGATGGATTCTCATAAATCACCACCACACGGTAATACGGTATAGGTTCACCTAATTTCATTCATTACAGCCTTGTAGGGGAGTTGTGTCTCGGCAGCAACGCAAGGTCAGGAATTTGCATATAGGAAAAGTCAAAATTAGGTGTTTTTTTAGGTGCCAAGTTAAAAAATTAGGTGCTCTAAAATTTTCAGCGCAACGAACTGTTGAAATTTGCGTTGCTGACAAAACTTAGGGCTGATAGCTATAATAGACAACACTCCGTAAAGTCAGGACGTTCTGATTCGGTTTTAGTACAGATTCGACCTATCTTATCTATAATATATAACATATAAAAAACAAAAAAAATCCGTTCATAACTTATAGTAAGGTAATGGTAGTCCTGGACCAGATAATTTCTAGAATATTACCGTCATCAATATCCGACCTCAATAATTTTTCAGCACTTAATTCCTTGCTATTAATATTTATCGTATTTATATCTATTATCGTCAATGCGTTTCTAGCGATACATTTTGCCAGCAACACGAATTTGAACAGTTCAATGCGGTGAAAATTTTAGACCTAGTTTAAAAAAAAAACTTAAAAAGAGCCCCTAATTTTGGCTTTTTCTTAATGCAAATTCCTGACTGCGTTGCTGGCGAGACACAACTTTGTAGGGGAGATATTTGCCATATTTGAGTTTGTATCAGAGAGATATATTGAGTTGTTATCATAAAGATGCTGCTACCCATCTTCAGTTAGCATAGTCGCCTCCTACGATACCTACAAGACTAAACAGGACGAAGGATTCTTTTACGCCATCACTAGGTGGCCTAAAAGACCTATACCTAATATATTTATATGAAATGATGCGATGATTAAAAACGATGCTTTGATACCAATAAGTCAGCCAGTTTATCTCCACATGTCAAATGACCCAAAAACAAGGTTCAGCTTTTCTAGAATAATGGTAACAAACGAGCACACAGTCCACCTGACGGTAAGTGGATGCTGTGGCCCATAAACATCCACATTTATATTCGATTAAGAATCAAAACGCAGATGCGTTGTCCCCCCTGAGGGAATTCATCGTTTCCAGTAAAAAAAGGTCTCCTAATGTATACACTCACTGCTGTACTAAGCTGCTATTTTGTGAGAGACTGGTCCTTCCCCGGTCGAGCCGACCCATTCATGCTACAACCATAATATGGCTACAGCGTGGCTCTACCACGTATGAAAAAACTTAATTCAACTACATGCACTCACATAACCATATGCATCTACAATAATTTTGCAACCAACAAGGTTTTAGGTCCTTAAGAGTGCATTCAGTTGTGAACTTTTGCGGACCGATATAAAAAGAAATGTGTGTCAATTGAAACAAACGCCTCACTGTCTATCTTTGTTGGTCTGAGCTGTGTTGTGTTGAACTACCAGTTCGCCTCATACTCTCTCTTTTCGTTAAATTTACTTATTGAAACCATTACGATGGTTTGATTTCCTAAGACTGATTTTTTTTTTATAAAACCTGAGGTGACACGAACTTACTGTGCACCTGATGGTAAGTAGCTACTACAGTATATGGACACCGGCAAGCCTGCAACCAACTTCAAACCAAAGATTACTCCAGATGCATTGTTACTTCTGAATACTAAGATGATATGCATAATAGGTTGTAAATATGCTAGATCTCTACACCCTTCATATAAGGAAAGTGGTGCAAGCACTGCCATTTGACAGCAAAAAAAGGTAAGGGGCTGGTACCTGCCCAAACACTCCTACTCGGAGAAGTTCGTCAACTCAGTAACTATACTAAAAAGTAACAGTAGAGCTCATTTTTATTTATATCAATAAGCTTCACTTAAACATGATGGAAGCTAATCAGTCCATTAGCAATGGATGCATCTGCACACTGCAAGCTGTTGCTATCCTCCTCAGATTGACTACTGTATCAGATGTTTTACATCACAGGCTAGATCAAAAAATATATTAGATATATTTTAGATATTTATCTTGGCATCTCTCAAGTCAAAATGCACAAGCAGCAAATTGGGAAAGGATTTCATGCAATCCAAAGTCCAATATGGAGCAATGAGTACCATTAAGTTGCAACTACAAACTGTTTATTCAAATTAAGACTATTATACACAGGGCAATTAAACATTTTTTGCAGGAGCAGAAGTCAAATACAAAATAAATGAACCCATGTTCACAATGCAACACAAGTTTTGTTTAGTTGATGACAGGATTCTCATGACAGGCACACTGAATTGGGGAAATGACCGTTCATGCGACCATTGGAACTATGTGTACATAACTAGCAAGCTTCAACTAGTTGCACCAGTGAAGAAGGAGTTTTATCAAATGTGGGATGAATTCAGTGGCAATATCCACTGTGCTCATAGCGAACAACCCAAAGTATGTGACAGTGATATTGAAACTGTTGAAATTAAAAACCCGGAAGAAAACACAGATGAAAATGTAGGATATGAAACGGTCATAGAAACTCAGACCCATATTGGTACAGAGCTGACACCTGTTGAACACACAATATAGTTTTGTAATAAATAATTAAGATAATATTTTATAATACAAACATGCCAAATAAAGTCAATATTTTAACCATTGTTTAATGCTAGGCTAGACTTTTAAAATGTAAGAGATTTACAATATTTATTCAAATAATCTAAATCTAGTTTTAATATATTTTAATTGGGAATACAATTTAAACAGGTTTCTTGCAGCCTGTTTTTCATTCGTATTTTTTACTATACTATTCTTTTCAATATTGATTTCAGTACAATTGAAACTGCTTTTTATAAGAAAAGTGTTTCTTCATTTTCTTTAGTCATAATTATTTTCATTTCTGTTTGCTTGTCTAAACTATTTTATTTTAATTTTAGTCATCTTTCATTATTTTGAACTAATGTGTGTTTCAATATTTCCTAAAATTAGCAAAATAAATTTTAATATTTTAAAACAAATTTTCATTTTATTTTTTTATATGCCATACTGATTCAAATTAAATAGTAATTGACAAATGATTATTATTCATGTTATATTCTTTGAAACTCAATACTACTTGAGATATTTCATTTCATTTTGGAAAGCACCTTAGTAAGACACATAAGGCACTTTTTGCATATTAAATTACTTAAGTACATTTGCCCATACATTTATGAAAAATTAAATGAAAGGGTTAATTTATCATAACCAGAAAGTAATTCATAACTTTGTGTTAAAATGTATAGTACAGAATACAGAAATCGTAATAATAACACAATAGAAATGAATTAGCGCTCGATTACTTCCGAAACCGATGTCACCACATCTTACCGTATTTTAAACATACGCAATGCACAATGATATCTAATGTTTCACATTACATTGCTTGGCGACTTTTTCAACGTCGCGTGTGTCACGTATTAATTATAAAGCAGCAATGGTAATTGTCATAGTATTCATCTAGATGTAAATTGATTAAAACAATGATAATTAGTAAATAATCAACTTACTTATGAAATGTTATGCCTTTATTAGTTTAATTACACTTCCTTGACGAGTTTTTACAACTGATTATGCTGCAGTGCACCATTATAAATTTATAATAACAAAATTTACATACGACGTTCCCCGGACAACTAAATCACAAAATGGTGAATCATGTTTTTCAACCCACATAAGCGGCGACAAGGTCATGCATCTATGCGAGTTCTATTGTCTTATTATTACAATTTCTGTGGTACAGAAGTATTTACCAGACTGCGCAGTCTCGTATTAGTAAGCCGAGTGTAAAGTGGTACCCTACTAGTTGCGAGTGACAAGCTGGTAGACATGCAGGAAGTTGATGAATGCAAGAGGCTCAGGACCATATTTCGTTATTCCTGGCAAGAAACCAATGTTTATACATATAGGTCTACTAGACCTGTAAAGGGCTGTAATAAAACAAAAATAAACACTAATGACAGTATATTCTTATGGTTGTTTGTTAACTAACCTAAATAAAATGGTGATCACAAGATATACATAAATTACAATAATTTTAAAATGTCTTTGCTTATAACTTAATGTTAATCATACTTTAATTCTAATTAACAAATGTGATTATTCACCACCTCTGATAGCCTTATATTTTGCAATTTCATTAGGAAATGTTTTTGATAACTCCGATAGCAGGTGGCTCTTGAAACGTTTATATGAATCAATTTTTCCTTTGACTTCTTCATTTTTAGCTAAAGCTTTATCAATACAATCTTTTGTGTATAGCTGTGGATTTCGACCTTGATCAATATAGCTGTAATCAAAATAAACATAATTGAAAAGTATAATCTTTATAAGTTAATGTAAAATGAGCAATTTTTTGCATTATGCCTCTGTCCATAATACCAATGTCATCTATAATACAAAAAAATATTCAATCAAATATGATTTCAATTTTAATATTCATACAACTAACTAATTATACGTCATATTTGAGTATAATAGAAATATATAACAACTACACTTACTCAAAAACTTCGGTAGGAACATGAATATCATGAACTTGGGATTTCAGTTTATCTACTTCTTGAAGACCCGTAACTAGTGATTGTCTGTAAAGAATTAAAATCAATTTAATGCAAAATATAAAGATTTAGGAGAACCCTTAATTATTGTAATTTTCCTTACATTTTCTGATTCAAAACACTTTGTCCTTGTGGTTGAAAATCACTTACAATAATACGTATCTGTCTAACATTTTCTATGAACATTTCTAATTGGGTTTCTAAATTTTCGAGAGGTGAAGACATTATGAAATAATTGCGATGGATCTACTTGTTATTACAGCACGGATATTATATGATATACGTTTATATCTCAAATATATAGCTGTATTTCTGTGTTGTGCGTTCTCCAGCTATACTACGGCAAAACAAATCAAAATCTAAAGCATCTAAAGTTTAAACAGACAAGAAAGAAAACAGAAATTACTTTTAGGTCAGTGATTATAACACGTTAAACGTTACTGTTCTATTGCGTTCTATGTTTGTTAAACGTTAGTTTCTCTATCTAGTCTGTGGAAATTATGAAAATATGAAAATATCGTAGACAGAGAAACCTATAGACTAATGATCGGCGTGGCCTCGAGTGAGAAAGGACGATAACGAATTTTTAGGTTATACAATAATCTTTATGACTTTTAAACACATTTGGATATAAATTTTAATTGTTCTAAGAACTGAACTGAACAAGATTCACCAATCTTAAGGTCACAAAACACTTTTTTCTCACTTAAACCAACTTGTAAACTCCTTACATCGCTACGCTGTTAAAGTTGTTTAGCAAACACTACAGTTTAAAAAAACCGGCACGGAGAAAGGGACAAACAGTCACACCGCTCTATCTCATTTCTATGCAAGACGTATGCATAATTCTATCTTTTTCGTGTGCGAATGCGAAAGATAGCGTCAATTTGTCTATAGGTTTCTCTGTCTACGGAAAATATAGACTCCTATATTTTTTATAGCCTAATATATCATAGATAAATAAATATGTAGCAAGCTATAATATATACACAGCATAGAGTAGTGTAATATGTACTATATACGGAAAATACACAGTAATCTATGGTCTCTGTCGATGTCACGAAGGTTCTTTAACCTGAAGGTTAAAAAACCTTCATGTCATGAAGGTTAAAGAACCTTCATAATATGAAGTTTCTCTAACCTTCATGGTCGATGTCAAACAACCATAGATATATAGATAATTTTCGTAAACAGAGAATCCTACGTAGACAGAGAATGCTATCTCTGTCTACGGAATCCTATCTGTCTACGATAATTTCCTTTTTTTTTATTATGTCGCCTCTACACGTTGGCCAACACAGTGGCGAATGGAGTGGCGAATATATTGGCCGAGAGTTGGTGACGGCGTCCACACGTTGGAAGGTCGTTCAGTTTACTTCGGTTCGGGCCAATGTGCGGACGAATTTATAATCACCGTGGCGCAGGGTCTCAGCAATGAGTGGCTGCACCAGGCGCCGCGGGTTAAATCCCGCACGGAACAAGTATTTGTGTGTCCTAAAAATAATTGTTTCGGGTCTGGATGTGTGTCCTTGTGCAATTTATGTTTGTAAACTGCCTGCGCGATACGGGAGAAAATCCTAGTGTGGGGTTAACGTTTTTATAAAAGAATTATAAAATAATAGTGGATATTAATGGGGTTGTAAATAGATATACGATATACGATTAGCTTTATTTATTCTTTACATGCATCATAAACTGGAATAAATACCATTAATAAGAACTTAACTTATTTTAAAGTTAAAGGAGTTATAATCAATTAGTCTATGTTTTAAAATTGGGTTTTGATTTTAAAGTTTAGCAAAATATGTACTTACATTTCTATCAGACATTTGATGTATTAAAACACCTTATAATTTATTTGGTAATTTAATTATTTTTTGAGAAAGACAAAAACAATAGCAATAAATATAATTAACACTGACTTTAATAGGTACTAATTATAACTTAGAACATAAATGAAAAACTCATGACGAGCAAAGTGGCTCAGGACCATGCTTTGCGGCAGTCTGTGGAGGAAGATGTTCAGTAGTGGACTTGTGAAGAGCTGTAATGATGATGATGATTCGAAAACTTGCACGATTAAATTATAAGAAATCGACGCTTTTTTATATAGGATAGGGTGACAAACGAGCACACAGGTCACCTGATGGTAAGTGGTTGCTGTGGCCCACAGAAATCTACAACTATCTTCGATTACGCATCAAAATGCAGATGCGTTGTCACCCGTGAGGACTAAGATGAAATGCCTCTTTTCCTTTAAAAAGTGTCTCTGATTCTCTACACTCACTATACGAAACACAGCATCATTAAGCTACTATTTTACATTGATATTCTGCGAGAGCGTGGTCCTTCCCCGGTCGAACCGACCCATTCGTGCTACAACTATACTTCTAATATAACTGCATGGTTCTACCACGTAAATTTGGCCTTCCATCTGGACAGCGAAAGCGATTAGACGTGCTCCCCGTAATCTTTTATAAATATTTTTGATAAATTAAATTCTGACCAAATAGTCAGTTTTTGGCAAGTACTAGGACTGCATAACTTTAGGGTGATACGCAGTAGTACGGTAACGGGTATAAAAGAGACACCAACAGTGGAGACAAGCAGATCGAACCAAATTCGCTTCACCGACGTCACTCCAACTACGTACGTATACGTCACAAGAGACGCTTGCCTTGATTCATAGGCGGAAGCGTTTTTAAAGAAAAGAAAAATGCCGCTAAGGAGAACACCACCGTCTACTCCGAAACAGGAAGCATCCCTGCTGCAGGTCCTTGAATCTGATGCAAATCAAAGCTCTGCCCCACCTACTGATACAGATAATGAAAGCTCCAATGTGAACAATCGGAATAGAAATCGACCCCGTAAACGTCAGTATGATGACGAACTAGCTTCTTTCATGGTGCAAATGAGGAAATCCATTGGAATTTTAACTAAGCAGCAAGATACAATACAGGAAAGCATTAAAGACATTAAGAAGCAAAACAC